GGGCGAGGACCCACCTTGACAGACGGCGGGCATCTGTCAGAACACGTTCTCGAACCGTCGTGGGCGTCTTGGAGCGAGATGCGGGCCGTGTCGGGGCCTCTGGGGTGGAAGAGGGTGTGCAGAGATGCGGGAATGGATTGGCGAGGCGGTCTACAATGCTGCCGAGGCGGACCTCTCAAGGGTCAGGAGGCGGTAGTTCGGAGCCTTTAACGGAGGTTGTTTGAAGTTCTCTGGGAACGCCATTCTCGGTGTTCGCCGCGCCCGCATGGGGAAGCGGGCGAGAACCCACCTTTACAGACGGTGGGCATCTGTCAAAACACGTTTTGGAGCCGTCGTGGGCGTCTTGGGGCGAGATGTGGGGCGTGTTGGGCCCTTCGGACAGTCCACCGTGTGCTCGCCAAGGATTCCCCCGGGACCTCTGGCAATCGCGGCACCGCCCGCTCCGCCAATAGTAATGTCTGCGGCTGACATTTTGAGCGTTCGCCGTGCACGCATGTGGGAACCAGCGAAAACCCACGTTTACAGTCTGCGGGCAGATGTCACAATACCAGAAGAATGATTACCGAAAGGCCTTCGGAGCATCCCGGCACAGTGCCTGGGCTACGGGTCTGAGGCCACTCGGATGGCAGATGGGGTCTCGTGGGAGGCGTCCCGGGGGCGTTTGGGAGGCAGTTTTTGAACCTCTTGAGGGCCCTCTGGGGGCCTCCTGGGTTTTTTTGTGGGGCCTTTTGGAGCTCTCTGGGGGCCTGTTCGCGCCTTTGTGGGGCAGCTGGTGGGCGCTTTAGGGTCGAAGGCTCGAAGTGTCCGTTCGGGTTCCCCCTCTGGGCCCCCTCTTGGCGCTGTCCTGGGGCTCCCCTGGGTCGTTTTGTAGGTTTCTTGAGCGGTCTTGGGGCCCTCTGAGGTCGTCTGGGAGCCCTCGTGGGGGCCTGTTGGGACGTTTTGGGGCGATCTAGAAGGTTTCTTGGGCCGTCTTGGACAGTGTCAATGCACAAAAGGCGAAACATACATGTTGTCTAAGAAAATGGGGCGATGTTTGCTCTTTGAGGCCGTCTTGAGACGCCTCTTGGGGGCTTCTTGTGGCGTCTTGGGGGCCTCTTGGACCGTCTAGAGGCCAGCGTGAGCGTTTTGGATCTATCTGTCGTCGGCTCGTGGCTCTCTCGGAGCGTCCGGAGGGCCTCTTGGGGCCCTCTTGGCATGTTTTTGGGCCCTCCGTACCCCCGTGATGTGCTCGGGCGGTCCCCGATGGACCCCCCCTTCCAAGTCAACTGGACCAGGCTCCCAGGGGAGGGGTTCTGGGGAGGGGGAAGCATCTCACACGCCGATGGATCCCAAGAAGTCGGCAGATTTTCCCACAGGGGTGTCATCCTTGAACTGCGCATGGCGATGCCAACGTTGCCTCGCGTCTGCTCGTGACTGGGGGAATATCACAACAGAAAATTCTGACGGCATCTCACTGCCTAGTTTGCCTCCAGCAGCACCGCGATCTACCGCAGATCCTGGGCCAGGATTGCCGCTGCGCAGGGCGCTGTTGCGTAATGGTGAACGCGATTTGTTTCTCGCGATATTGGAGAGGTGGCGTCCACTAGTGTACCACGAGACTACACTTGCTCTGCAGCAGTGGGATCATACTACAACCCAGCTTGCGACACAGTTACGGCACTTAGCAGAGCAGAGGCGCCGTGCGGAATTTGACGAGGCGAGCGCGTTGATCCTAGATTTGCAGCTTGTGGCTTTGCGTGTATCGTCGCAGTTTGGAGCCAGGGGCTTAGGTATTGCGACGTGTTGGCCAATTGTGATAAGTTTCATCCTTGGTATTGACCCTCTTAACCATATCTTATATGTTTGGCCACTATTGCCTCTTATTTCTCCGCCGTTGCCAGATATTGAAAGCCACCGTGAGTGGACCGCGCGCGTGTGGACCATGATGGCGAGGCGCATACCGTGGGCGCCTCCAGCAGCTGGGCACTAGCGCAATCAGAGCCATCAATCAAGCGGCCCACGGCAAGTCCTGCCGCCGTGCCATCTCGCCACTGGCCTTGCTCTACTCGCCTCCCTCCACACAGCTTCCCCGCCTCTGCGTCCTCCTCGTCTCACCACGGGGCATTCTTCGCGATTGTAGGAGAAAATCGATGCGTCCGAAGGCACGTGCCGGAACGCTTCCCGTGGGCAGCCCGAAGGTATTTGCCAGGGCGCTCCCTACTTAGGCACCATAATCTAGACTTCCAAGATTGGGTTCGAGCAGATGGGGTCGGAGAATCGCGCCGCATCGCCGGGGAATCGCCGATTCGGCTTACGCCACATCCGCCGACCCCTTAAATGCGTTCGAGCAAGACATGTCTGACGCTGTTGAAAGAGCAGGCGGAAATGTCGGGTGCACAGAAGAGGCACAATTCATTGGGGGAGAGGCTCTGTCGGAAATGCGCGGAGGGGCGAGAGAACGAGGTGCGACGTGACGCGCGCGGCGTGCGGAGGAGCGTTCTCGGACACGAGACATTTGCAGCAGCAGCAGGTGGGGAATCATCAAAAGGCGACAGGAGCGGCGCGTGCAAGAGAAGACTACCGTTGCGAGGAGTCTGACCGCCGGGACCTAGGGGTAGGTGGAGGAAGGAGGATGGGGGGGAGGAGGGCAAGGCTGGGGAAAGAGGATGAGGGAAAGGAAGAGAGGATGCAAGAGGGAGAGAATGGAAGAGGAGGGCGGAGGGATGAGAGAGGAGAAGGGTGCTGAAGAGGAGGAGGGAGAGGAACTGGAAACACGATCTACTTACAATCGGCATGTCACGCCACCGTGCCCGGGTTGTGGGTCTGAGGCTTGTGCGATGTTCGCTGGGATCTCCGGGGAGGCATCTCGCAGGCTTCGTGGAGGTAGTTTCGAAGTTCACTGATAGCCGTTTTGGGACCTCTTGGGGCCTCTTTTGGGCCTCTCGGACGCTTTTTGGAGGTTTTTTGGGGGTCTCTTGGGACTTTTTGGGCGGCTCGTGGGGTGCCCCAGGGCCAGGTGGGAGCGGAGGGCTCGGATTTTCGGTTCGGGCTCCGCCGCTGGGGTCCCTCTAGGAGCCGTCTTGGGATCTTTTGGGCCGATTCGGGAGCTTTTGGGGCCGTCTTGGCGCCGTTTTGGGCCGTCTTGGGCGCTTTTTGGGGCCCCTTTGGGACGTCATGGGGTAACCTGGGGGGCCTCTTAGACTGGCTGCAACTCCGCGCAGGCTGAAAAGTCGTCGATGCTAGAAATGTGTGTTTCCCCACGGAAAACGAATTATTTTCGCTGCTTTGGACCTTCTTGGCGCGCCCCGTCGGGGCCTCTTGGAGCGTTTTGGAGGCATCGTGGGATGTTTTGAGCCCATATTGGGGAATCTTGGAGCCACCGAAGGCCACGTGGAGGTCCTCTTGGGCCGTCGTGGTGCGTCCCGGGGCCATTTCGAGGCCACCGGAGGAGTCCCTGCAGGATTTTCGGGAGCGGATGACCCCCCCGGGGGAACTGGGGAATTTGAACAGACCCCCCCCCTCCAAATCGACCGGACCGGGCTCCCGGGGGAGGGGTTTGGGGAGGGGGAAGATCTCACACGCCGATGAACCCCAAGGGGTCGGCGGATTTTTGTACCCTCTTGGGGCCCTCTTGGGGGTCCTCTTGGAATCTCCTTGAGGCGTCTTGGACGCCTCTTGGGCCGTCTTCAGGCCATCTTGGGCGTCCAGGAGCGCTCTTGGGCGTTTTCGGGCGCCTCCTGGACCGTCTTGGTGGCCTCCTGGGCCCCTTTTGGCCCGTTTGGGGGCGGTTTGGGAGTCCCGGGGGGGGGGGAGAAAGGGTGGACCCGATGAACCCCCCCCTTCCCCCCCTACCGCTACGATTACTACCACGACGACGACTACGACTACTACTGCTACTACTACTCATATTATTATTACGATTACGACGACTACTACTACCACTGCTACTACTACAATTCCTACAAGAACTATTTTGACTAAGCTCGCTGGAGACATCCCCTCAGTCTTGACTTCGGAGACGCGCGGAAGGCCCAAATGACCTCATGCAAGATGACCCGCTGACCGCATGGCCCAAATGCCCCGTGTCGCGTGGCCGCCCGTTTTGCGCGCACCGTTCTTGCTTCCGCAACCCCGCGCTGCCACCTGCTTCGTCGTCAGGGCCGCTCATACGACCACTTCTACTACTGTTATTCTTACTAATACTACTAGTAGCTCTCCTCCTCTGTCTAGTACACCTACCTCTACTACTACGAACACTACGACTACTATTATTACGACCACTACTACTACTACTACTACTACTACTACTACTACTACTACTACTACTACTACTACTACTACTGCTACTACTGCTACTACTACTACTACTACTACTACTACTACTACTACCAGTGCTACTGCTACTGCTACTACTATTTTTACAACAACCCTTACTTTTACAACTACTACCACTACTACTACTACTACTACTACTACTACTACTACTACTACTACTACTACTACGATTACTACTACACCCTACCATTACTACTACTACGACCACTACCACTAACAGTACCCATACCGATGCCACTCCAACACCTACAGCAAGTACGACTACTACCACTACTATTGCGACCATACTCATACGATTGATGCTACTCGTATGCCTACGACCACGACAACTACAACTCTGACTACGCCTGCTACGATTACTACCACGACGACGACTACGACTACTACTGCTACTACTACTACTAATCCTATTACTATTACTTCTACGACGACGACTATTACCACTGCTACTAATACAACTCCTACTGGAAATATTTTTACTACGCTCGCAAGAGACATCCCCTCAGCCTTGACCTCGGAGGCGCGCGGAAGGCCTAACTAACCTCATGCAAGATGACCCGCTGACCCCATGGTTCAAATGCTTCGTGTCGCGTGGCCGTCCGTCTTGCGCGCACCATTTTTGTTTCCGCAACCCCGCGCTGCCACCTGCTTCCTCGTCAGGGCCGCTCCCCAGCGGTTACCTTGCCATGGCGGACAAGCTGGAGACCGTGAGCAAACGCAACTGCGGGACCAAGGTTGTGCACGTGCGCGTGTTCAACCCCAAGGTGCACACAACCCAAAAGAACGCAGACGTCTTCACTTGCGTGCTGGTCAGTGAATCAGGATTTTACTACATCGCCGAGCAGATGGTCTGGGGCGACACCCCCGCGGCGCGCGCCCGGACAACCAAAGCTCTGACGGATAAGTGGACCCCCAGGTCGTCGTGGGCTCTATCCAAGTTGACGATGGTGCGCAAGAAAGACGCCTTCCACGGCAGTCCGCACCCCTGCGTCTTGCAGCTGACCAACAAAACCATGGTCGCCAAAGTTTTGCCGCCCCAGCAGGCGAACAAGTTGCCAAACGAAGTGGAGCCCTCCATGGGCATTCACGACGTATTTGAACTGTCCCAGGACCAAGCAGTTGACCTCTACGGCTTCGTTACCGACATCTCCACCGAAGGCACATTCAAGGGCAAGAAATTGGTGGTGTCCTCCGTGTGCGATGCATCCAAAACGCCATCGCCCTGAAGTTTTGGGAGGAGTCCGTCCCGCAGGCACAGCAGCTTCACAACAAGGAGCCTGTCTACATTTTCGGTGCGTACCTTGTGAAGTCCGACAACGGCGGCGCCCACCTCACAGTGCGCAGCTCCACCATTTTCACCCAGCCCACAGGCTCCTCTCCCAAAGTGGCAGTGATGCTTGCCGCTGGCGTCCGAGACATCGCCAAGGACGACCTGACCAGCCTCTCGGCGTGCGACTCCACGAACTACAAAGATGGGCCCGCCGTGAGTTCCACGTCGGCAATTCTGGACATGCTCTTACACAGCAAGGCCGTGGCTCCGGATAAGCTGTTCGAAATCCCCGCCGCATCCTTTTCCCTCAGCGACACGGAGAACTTGCTGACCAAGGCCGGGGACCGCGCGTGGGCGTCCGTGCGCATGTCCGACTACACCGGCTCGGTCGACGCTAAGATCACGGAGGCGGCTGCCCTCGCGTTGACGGGGTGCGCTGACAAGGCCGAGTTCCAAGACGAGGTCGCGCAAGGGTCCATGACGTGGTCTCGGGCACGCGTCCGCGCAACGCTGGCTGCCTCCCCTGGCGCCAAGGGCGACCAGGTTAACGAACCGCGCCTTGCTATCGTGTGTGCAGAGCCTTGCCTTTTCGACGTCACCGCGCCACTGCTCGCCCCGCAGAACGACAGCTGCCTTGGCCCGACTACAGCCCGCTCCATTTCGATGAGTGCCACGGGGAAGCTCTGCGTCACTATCGGCCCTGCGCGGTTCCTGACCAGCGGGGCCATCCTACTCGTCGAGGCCGCGAAGGACCCAGATGCCACCCCGCGCGACGACGGCTTCGCCATCACCAACTACGTCACAGACGTAGCGGAGACCGACGCCGAGCAGAAGACTGCCTGGAAGGTGACCACGGCTTGTCCGACAAGGCGTCTGGGCCGGCACGCCTTGACCAAAAAGGACCGGGCGTTTATGCTTGGTCACTTTCGTCAACGCGACGGACTCCGAGCTCACTGTCGCCGACATGTGGAAGCTTGCGCCCGGCATCGACCCCGACGCGTTCACGACAGAAATTGCCGCGGCGACAGACGTCTTCACCAACCGCCTCACGCGCGCCAAGCGCAAGGCCGACGACGACCTCAGCGACTTCTTCGGGCCCACCGCCAAGCGGATCCACAAGACGTTCTGTGGCCCCGCGAGCATCGCAGAGTGAACCCGCCCCGACGCAACTCTCCTGTCTTGGTCGCGCCTCCCGAGTGCTTGCCCCTCTTCCACCCTCTGATTCTCGTCTCTGCCCCGCCCTCTTACATCCTTCTTGCACTCCGCCATCCAACCGCGGCCCGTCCTCAGCCACCGCCGCTGCTGGGCCCGTGCCGTTCTAATACGGGGCCGTCCTTCATGAGTGTACATCGGCGGTTGGAAGGAATGTAAACGGAAGCGATTCCAACTGGAACATCGGTTTCGGTTTTGGTTCGTGCCCATGGAGCCCTAAAGGTCGCCCCCCCAAGCGCGCCTTCCAGGTTGTGCCGATGTTTTCCCGATGGCTGCCCCGATGGTTGCTCCGATGGTTGCCCCAATGTTTCTCCCGACGGTTCTCCCGATGGTTCCCCCGATGGGCGCCGATGGTTGCCCCGATGTTTGTCCCGATGGTTGTTCCGACGGGCGTCCCGATGGTCGTCCTGAGGTTGTCCCGAATGTTGTCCCAGTGGTTCTGCCGATGGCGATTGTTGTCCCGATGGTTGTCCTGGTGATTCTATTGATGGTTGCCCCGAAGGTTCTCCCGATGGTTGATCCGATGGTTGGCCCGATGGTTGTCCCGATCGTTGTCCCGATCGTTGTCCCGAAGGTGGCCCCGACGGTTGCCCCGATGATTGTCCCGACGCTTGTCCCGATGGTTGCCTGGTTGTTTGCCCCGACGGCATGCCCGATGTTTCTCCCGATGGTTGGCCCAATGACTGTTCCGATTTGATGGCTGCCCCGATGGTTGTCCTGATGGATGGTGGTTGCCCCGATGGTTGTCCCGATGGTTATCCCGGTGGTTGTCCCGATGTTTGTCCCGATGGTTTCCCCGATGGTTCTCCCGATGGTTGGACACAACGATGGTCCCGATGTGACGGTTCTCCTGATGGTTGTCCATATAAATAGGGGGTGCCCCGATGGCTGTCCCAATGATTGCCCCGATGGTTGTCCCGATGGTTGTCCCGGTGGTTGCCCCAGTGGTTGTCCCAATGGTTGTCCCGATGGGTGCCCTTAAGAATGTCCCGATGATTGTCCCGAAGATTTGCCCGATGTTTGTCCCACTGGTTGTCCCGAAGGTTCTCCCGATTGTTCTCCCGATGGTTGTCCCGACGGCGGTTGTTTCGGATGGTTGCCCCAACGGCTCTCCCGATGAATGTCCCAATGGTTGATCCGATGATTGTCCAGATGGGTCCCGCAGATTGTTCCGATGGTTGTCCCGATGGTTGCCTGGATGGTTGTCCCGATGGTTGTCCCGATGGTTAGCCCGACGGTTGTCCCGACGTGATGGTTCTCCCGATAGTTGTCCCGATTGATAGGTGTTGTCCCGATGCTTGTCCCGATGGTTGTCACGATGGTTGTCCTGTTTGTTGCCCCGATGGTTGTCCGGGTGGTTGCCCCGATGGTTCCCCCGATGGCTGTTCCGACGTTTGTATCGATGGTTGTCCCGATGTTTGCCCCGATGGTTTTCCCGATTTTGTACTCCTGGTTGTCCCGTTGCTTGCCCCGATGGTTGCCCTCATGGGTGCCGGCATGGTTGTCCTGATGGATGTCTTGATTGACATATACCTATACAAACATATTAGTCGGAAGTGTAGATGTGAACATACATTTCGATATATATATATATATATATATATATATATATACATATATACGGTTACCTTTTTGAACGACCGGTTTATAGACATGTGTGCATATATACATATATATATAATCATGTAGACATACATACATATATATGTAAATTTGTATATACAAATGTGTTTAGAAGCACGTCTATATATATATATATGTCCCTATATATATATATAATATATATATATATATATATATATATATATATATGCGCAGCCCCCCCCCCCCCCAGCCCCAGCGCCCATCGATTTTGCATCGGTCGTTGACCTCAACTTCTGAGAGAGAGAGAGAGGGAGAGTTGAGGGAGCAGCGATCCCTGTGGAATCACAGGGTTAGCGACGTCAGGGGTCGCCAAACCCTGTGTTTTCATTTGGGTTTTTGGGGATTCTGGGATGAGAATCAAGGAAGCCATGTGCTTTCACTTGGATGTTTGGGATCTCTGGGATTTCTAAGGTTCTGAAGCTTCGGAGGCTCCTGGGTTGTTATTCTCTGGGAAGAGAAAATCCCCCAAATCCCAAACATCCAAATGAAAACGCATGGTTTCCTTCATTCTCATCCCAAAAATCACCAACATCCCAATGACAACACAGGGTTTGGCGACCCATGACGACGCTAACCTTGTGATTCCACAGCGATCGCTGTTCCCTCAACTCTCTCTCTCTCTCCACCTTCCTCTACCTCTCCCTCAGTCTCTCTGTGTGTCCCTCTCCTTTGTCGCTCTTGCTCTTTCTCCCCCTCCTTCTCCTCCTCCTGGCCCAGCTCCTCCTCCTCCTCCTCCTCCTCCTCCTTTTCCTCGTCGTCCTCCTCTTCTTCTGAAGCGCACAGGTGGAGAGAGAGAGAGAGGGGGAGGGCGAGTTGAGGGAGCAGCGATCGCTGTGGAATCACAGGGTTAGCGACGTCAGGGGTCGCCAAACCCTGTGTTTCTATTGGGATGTTTGCGATTTATGAGATGAGAATCAAGGAAACCATGTGTTTTCATTTGGATGTTTGGGATTGCTGGGATTTCTAAGGTTCTGAAGCTTCGGAGGCTCCTGGGTTGTTATTCTCTGGAAAGAGAAAGTCCAAAGCATCCCAACAATCCCAATGCAAATGCATGGTTTCCATGATTCTCATCCCAGAAATCCAAAACATCCAAATGAAAACACAGGGTTTGGCGACCCCTGACGACGCTAACCCTGCGATTCCACAGGGATCGCTGCTCCCTCAACTCTCTCTCTCTCTCTCTCTCTCTCTCCCCACCTTTCTCTACCTCTCCCTCCGTCTCTCTCTGTGTCCCTCTCTGTGTTCATCTCTCTGTCGCTCTTGCTCTTCCTCTCCCTCCTCCTTCTCCTCCTCCAGCTCCTCCTCCTCCTCCTCCTCCTCCTCCTTCTCCTCGTCGTCCTCCTCTTCTTCTGAAGCGCACAGGGGGGGGGAGAGAAAGAGAGAGAGAGAGAGGGAGAGTTGAGGGAGCAGCGATCGCTGCGGAATCACAGGATTAGCGACGTCAGGGGTCGCCAAGCCCTGTGTTTTCATTTGGATGTTGGGGATTTCTGGAATGAGAATCAAGGAAACCATGTGTTTTCATTTGGGTGTTTGGGATTGTTGGGATTTCTAAGGTTCTGAAGCTTCGGAGGCTCCTGGGTTGTTATTCTCTGGGAAGAGAAAATCCCAACAATCCAAAAAAAACTCAATGAAAACACATGGTTTCCTTGATTCTCATCCCAGAAATCCCAAACATCCAAATGAAAACACAGGGTTTGGGCGACCCCTGACGACGCTAACCCTGTGATTCTACAGGGATCGCTGCTCCCTCAACTCTCTCTCTCTCTCTCTCCACCTTTCTCTACCTCTCCCTCAGTCTCTCTCTGTGTCCCTCTCTGTGTTCCTCTCTGTCGCTCTTGCTCTTCCTCCCCCTCCTCCTTCTCCTCCTCCAGCTCCTCCCCCTCCTCCTCATCCTCCTCCTCCTTCTCCTCGTCGTCCTCCTCTTCTTCTGAAGCGCACAGGGGGGGGGAGAGAGAGAGAGAGAGAGAAAGAGAGAGAGAAAGAGGGAGAGAGAGAGAGAGAGGAGGAAAGGAAGAGGAGCGTATAACATTGCCAAAGCACCAGAGGCCAAGAATGGGCGCTGGGGGGGGGCTGTCCATATATACATATATATATATATATATTGATACATATACGTAGTACGATAGGGATTTCGAACAATAGATACAAAGGGAAACCGATATATACAAAGATAGACAGACGGGCAGATGTGCGCGACAATGCTAGGCACGAAGACACCACCACAGAACCAAGAGCCATCGCAAATCGACCGCCCCCTTGACCTTTCCCCAAGAAATAACCCTTATCGGCCGAAGAATGCTCCTTTCGGTAGCCCTAGTAGTATCACTTCACGACGTCGCACGGGCGAACCCCGTTCCGCACACAATCAGAATTGGAATTCTGAGGACTTGAACCCCACGACTCATTGGGACGGTTCCGTCCTGATACCTTAATTCCCACCATAATCCCATGCCTGGAAACGTACACCCTTCGCATCCTTGGGACATTTCCATCCTGTCAATGGGAACTCGTTCCAAGGCACCATGCCTGGAGGGTTCAACCGTACGAACCCGTGCGATTGTTGCATTTGTTCAACCGACTGTGCGCGCCGCTAACGCGAGAGCTGCGCTTTCAAACAGCACCGCCGTCCATCCGTGCCACTGCTGGACCCTTTCAAAACAAACATGCGCGGCGTTACGGCGACAGCTGCTTTTCGAAACGATCCAATGCGTGAAGGGTTTTGTTCGGGTGCCTTGTTCCCGTTGAGCGCGCTCTCCCATATTCGCCTCCACTTGTTCACCCCGTGCCTCTTTCTGATGGGTGCGTGCGCGTAGCTTTGTTTTGTGATGGCGGCGCGGAGCATCACCCGCATTTTAAAGAGCAGCCCCTAACCAAAAAACATAACAAAAAGAGGTGGGACCTTGAACCGGCCTGCCTCCTAGGGCTGTTGTGTTCCCAATGCGCAACGTGAGAAAAAAAAACATCGCCAACCGTCGCAGTCATCCCATCAAGGTTTGCGGCATGCGATGCCACATTCCTTTGGCCCTTGGGTTTCATTTCGATTCGATGCCCGGCCTTACCTCTTTGGCGTTCTCCTGCTGCTCCTCCTCCTCCGTCGGAGACGGATCCGGGGCGGAAGGCTGCCCCTGGGGAGGACCTCCTCCTCCTCCCCCTCCCCTTCTTCCTCCTCCTCGTCCTCCTCCTCCTCCTCCTCCTCCTCCTCCTCCTCCTCCTCCTCCTCCCTCCCTCCGAGACTTCCCTTTGAATGCAGGGCTTGTTTGAGGCGCAAAACAAATGAAGTAGGTTTAGAGTAGCTCC